TGGGTCTTTGCCAGGTTTGAGGTGGAAATACAGCTCCTTTGTAAACAGCTACCAGTCAATACTGCTATTTTGTTTTTTGGAACATTCTCTTCTCAGCCTCCCTTCAGAGATGTCTGTGCCACCACCAGTACCAGTTCCTGAACCTTTTCAAGATCCTGTTATGTAAATAGAGCTGGTTTCTTCTTTCCCTGCTGCCAGCCTGGGATGTGTGTGTGTGTGTGTGTGTGTGTGTGTGTGTGTGTGTGTGTGTGTGTGTGTGTGTGTGTGTAATCAGTTACTTCTCATCCATCTGCTTTTCCAGTTTCTTTGCTGCCTACCCTCTCGCTGCCTGGGGTCATCCCGTCTGTCTTCCCACTCCGGTACCCACTCAACTCCTCCTTCACCCCGACTGGTGGCGGTGACTCGTTTAACGTTGGAACGCTTCTAGTGACCATATTGCCACCTGAGGGGCACTCGATACTTTTCTTACTGTCCCTCTCCTTAACTAGCTCTGCTTACTACCGACAGAGTAAAAGATCAGAGTTTATTTTCAGTATTTTTAGAATTTAGTATTCTTGCACTTTTTGGTTTTAGTGTTTAAAAGGCACATATTAAGAACCATCGCCTTCGGGTACTGGCTTTCCTTCGTTCCTTTCGTGGCGGAACCATATCGTTCCAATGTCTCTTCTTAGGTTGTGTTTTCCGCTTAAAACTATTCACGGTGGTGTCCGCAGGAAGACTTCTCTTTCAGGAAAGGCGTCAGTGTCTAGAGAGGGGACCTTCTTCAGGACGTACCCTGAGACAGTTGTTGGGGGCCTACAGGCCTTGGGCGAGCAAGGCTTAGTGTGGTTTAGCACTTGTGTCTTCATTGCTCTCTGAGAATTCATGGCCTTTTGTCATTTAGAGTGTTTCTGACTGTTCTTGTTGCTGTCCTCACTGACTATTCCCATCCCACATTCTTCAGTGGATCTACTTCCTGTGTGAAATCTGAATGTGAAGGAACACTGGGCTAGGTAACTTCTGCCACATTTTTGTTATATATTTTTGAATATTTGATGTATTCACTTTTCTTCGTGTGGGTGTGCTTAAAGTAATTTTTGGTGACCGAAGTTGCATTAAAATAGCATAGCATATGCACATTTTTACTTCTTTTTAAACTTGTTTTCTTCACAGAAATCCCTTTCTCTATATATTTAAATTGTTATTTTCCCTTCAACCTTCTTCAAACTGCTAGCCAAGTTTTCCTTCAGAGAATGTTCTATGTCTTGAAATTAGGATGATTAATTGCAATTCCTTTTAATGATTTGCCTTCTCTATTTACCCTGGGGATAAATACACAAAATCAAAAGCGTTATTAATAAAATAAACTTGTTTTCTCATATACTTACCTACTTTGTGGATACTTATGCATGTTGTTAAAACCTAAGACTAGTGATTTTATATTTTGAAAAACGTTTTTCAGAGCATTATGGACGTTTAGGATATGAATGAGAAGGGTAAAGACCTATGTCTTTTTTGAGGTAATATCCAGGTGGTTATCAACTTCGTATTTTCTGTATGGATTTTGGGGTGACTCTTATGTACTCACATTCTTAAAAAACCTATTTAGAATAATTCTTCTCTTGTTTTAAAAAAAACCCACTGATGCCACAATTTTGTAATTTAAACTCTTTCATTTTAGGAACTTTTTACTATTTTAATACTAGCTTTATTGAGGTATAATAAATAATATCACATGCCATAATGTTTGCTCTTTTAAAGTGTACATTGTGTGGTTTTTAGTATATTCACAAAGTTGTGTATCAATCACTATTATCTACTTCCAGAATATTTTCATCACCCCCAAAGGAAATCTGGTACCTTCCAGCACTCATTTCCATTCCCCTCATCTCTACGGATTTGCCTTTTCTGGGCATGGATATATGTTTTCATTTCTCTTTGCTATATACGTAATAGAGGAATAGCTGGGTCATATGGTAACTCTAATTTTAACCTTTTGAGTACCTTCCAGTTTCTAAGACAGTTTCACTATTTTACATTTCTACCAACAATTTATGTTGGTTCCAATTTGTCCATTGATAAGATAACACATACATTATAAGCTTATCAACACAGTTTTATAATCATTACTTTATGTAGTTGTCTCTTAAATCAGAAGGGAAAAGAAAAGAGTTACCAAAAAAGTTGCATTTATGTTATCTTTTATATTTACCTATGTGTATATACCTTTAGCTCTGTTTTCTATTTTTCCATGTGGATTTGAGTTGCTGTCTAGCATCCTTTCATTTCAGCCTGAAGAACTCCATTTAGTATTTTTTGTAGGTTAGGTCTGCTAGTAATGAATTCTCTTAGTTTTTATCTGGGGAATATGTTAATTTCTCATTGTGCTTGACTGATTTTGCTGATTATAGAATTCTTGGTTCATAGTCTTTTTCTTTCTGCACATTGAATATGTCACCCTCTGCCTTCTGGTCTCCCTTGTTTTTTATTTGAAGTTTCTAATCATTTTCAGGACCTCTTGTATAATCACTCTTCTTCACTATTTTCAAAATTCTTTGTCTTTCAACAGTTCGATTATGAAGTGTCTAGGTGAGGATGTGTTTGAATTTATCCTCTTTGGGGCTTCTTGGGCTTCTTGGATGTACAGATTAATTTTTATTTCAATTTTAATAGACTATTTTTTAAAGAAGTTTTAGGTTTATAGAAAAATTGTATGGAAAGTACAGTGTTCCCATTTATTCCCTCACATAGTTTTCCCTATTATTAACATCTTATATTAGTGTGATACATTTGTTACAATTAAATCAATATTTATACATTATTATTTTATTTATTTTTTGAGATAGAATCTCAAAAATTCTATCTCAAAAATTTATTTTTTGAGATAGAATCTCTACTATTTTGAGATAGTATCCCCCTGACTAGAGCATAGGGGTGTGATCATAGATCACTGCAACCTCAAACTCCTGAGCTCAAGTGATCCTCCATTGTAGGCCTCCCAGAATGCTAGAATTATAGGCATGAGCCACTGAGCCTGGCTACCATTGTTAATTAATTATTGATACATTATTATTATTGAGGGTTCACTCTTTTTGTTATACATTCTATGCATTTTGCAAATGCATGTAATTTAACCTTTGTAGTAACATGCAAAATAGTTTCATTGTCCTGAAAAATTCCCTGTGCTCTACCTATTCATTTTGTCCTCCCTTCTCTCAGCCCCCTGTTAAACACAGATAGTTTTATAGTCTCTATAATTTTGCCTTTTCTAAAATGTCATGTAATTGAAATCATGCAGTATGTAATCTTTGCCAACTGGCTTCTTTTACTTAGTAATATGCACTTAAAGTTCCTCTATGTCTTTTTGTGGCTTGCAGCTTATTTCTTTTATCACTGGATAGTATTCCATTGTATGGATGTACCACAGTTTGTTTATCCAGTCACCCATTGAAGGACATCGTGGTTATTTCAAAATTTTGGCAATTATGAGTGAAGCTGCTATAAACATTCATATGCAGGTTTTTGTGTAGACATACATTTCAACTCATTTGGGTAAATATACAGGGGCATCATTATTGGTTGAATCGTTAGCCTACTTTTTTAGCTTGTAAGAAACTACTGAGCTGTCTGCCAGAGTGGGTATACTATTTTGCATACTTGGACTTCTTTGAGCCTCTTGCGTGTACAGATTAATTTTTTAAAATCAAATTTGGGAAGTTTTGAGCAATTATTCAGATATTCTTTTTGCCCCCTTCTTTCCCTCACTGCTTTCCTTCTGGGACTTCTGTTATATACATTTGTTGATATGCTTGGTGGTGTCTCACAGGTCTCTGAGGCTTACTTTAGTTTTTTAATTCTTTTTTGGTTTTGTTCCTCAAAGTGGATACTGTCAATTGACCTGTTTTTCACTTTCACTGATTCTTTCATCTTTCAGTTCCAACCTGCTGTTGGACCCTTCTAGTCAGTTTTTCTGTTCAGTTATTGTACTTTTCAAATTCCAGGTGTCAGCTGGGCGTGATGGCTCACGCCTGTAATCCTAGCACTCTGGGAGGCCAAGGTGGGAGGATCACTCAAGGTCAGGAGTTCAAAACCAGCCTGAGCAAGACCCCATCTCTACTATAAATAGAAAGAAATTAATTGGTCAACTAAAAATATATATAGAAAAAATTAGCCGGCATCCGTGGTGCAATGCCTGTAGTCCCAGCTACTCAGGAGGGCTGAAGCAGGAGGATTGCTGAGCCCAGGAGTTTGAGGTTTCTGTGAGCTAAGGCTAACGCCATGGCACTCTACCCTGGGCAAAGAGTGAGACTCTGTCTCAAAAAAAAAAAAAAAAAAATTCCAGGTGTCTATTGGGTTTTTAAAAATAATTTCTATTTCTTTATTGAAATTCTCAATTTGATTAGATATCATTCTCATACATTTTTAGTTCTTTAGTTCTTTAAACATACTATAATAGCTGATTTCAAGTCTTTTTTTTGAGACACAGTCTCACTCTGTTGCCTGGGCTAGAGTGCTGTGGCGTCAACCTAGCTCACAGCAACCTCAAACTCCTGGACTCCAGTGATCCTCCTGCCTCAGCCTCCCGAGTAGCTGGGACTACAGGCATGCGCCACCATGCCCGGTTAATTTTTTCTATATATTTTGAGTTGGCCAATTAATTTCTTTCTATTTTTAGTAGAGGCAGGATCTCGCTCTTGCTCAGGGTGGGTTTCGAACTCCTCCATGTTAGACCCTTAAACTATTCTTTGGTACACACTGTAGGAAGTGCTACTAGAGTTTTCTTTCAAAGAGCTTCCCAAATTTCAAGATTTTTTCCAATCTTTAGCAATCCACATAGAGTTAGAAAAATAAGTAGGACTGGAAAGAAGACAATTTTAAAGGAAAGAAATCAACCAGCCATAATTTTGAGGAACAACAGTAAATATGTAGGATTAGTTCGCCAGCGTGATTTCTGAGTGTTTGTGTACTACATGTGGGTATGTGTGTATGTTCCTTCACATATTTCCCTTTTCATTTCACAGATTTATTAAAAAGCCTCATGGAACATATCACCATTGCTGAATGCCTGGCACATACAAGACACCTGACAGCACGAGAGTTACTCCGAATGGGCACAGGATGTCACCTGGAATCCAAGCACTAAATGATCGGGACTTTCCTTAATTCTAAATGGTAAAAAGTCTAAATACTTTTCTTTCTTGTTTTTCCTTTTTTTGTTGTTATTGTTGTTGAGACCGAGTCTCACTCTGCTGCCCTGGGTAGAGTGCAGTGGTGTCATTGTGGCTCACAGCAGCCTCAGTCTCCTGGGCTCAAGGGATCCTTCTGCCTTGCCTCCCCAGGTAGCTTGGACTACAGGCACAATGCCTGGCTGGTTTTTTTTTTTTTTTTCCTTTTTGATGGTGACCGGGTCTCACTCTTGCTCAGGCTTGTCTCAAACTCCTGGGCTCAAGCAGTTCTCCTGCCTCAGCCTCCCAGAGTGCTAGGATTATAAGCATGAGCCACTTCGCCCAGCCTAAATACATTTCTTAAGATTATTCTATACTTATAATGATCAATCATTTATTTTTATTTGTATTATTAATAGTTTATTTCCTAATGAAATATTTAAAAGTTTGAGTGTTAACTCTGATGTTAAAAACTAGTTTCAAATCTTTATAAATCTGTTATGGAGACAGTTGATGATATTTGACTTTCTCTTTTACAGCAACAGCACTTATTAATTTTAGAACCAATTACCAAGTTATAAAATTGATATTTGAAAACAAAACAATGTTTAAATGTTTGTAAGCATTTTATATAGTAAAATTGGGTTGGGTTTCTGAAATTTGAATATCAACATAAAGTCTGTCCTAAATTACAATTTATATACACTATTGTTTTCTGCAAGGTATAATTATTGTAATCTGTTATAACTAATGCAGAAAATCTAAGGTTGCGTGTCTATTTTGGATTGTGAATATTTTGTCTTCTGTGGTTCCTGGCATAGAAGTGAACTCAGTGTGAGGTCAACCCAACACAGTCCCAGATTGGGTCTAATGTCAGCTGAGCCCTTTCAATCCAGTTTGAAAATTCAGATGAGTTGCCCTTTCTTGAAAGATTCTTAGAAGTCGCAATCATTTGTGAACTTCTCCCTAAGTGTGCCCCAAATCCTAAATCAACAAAAAGCAGAATGGGTCTGATCTCTTCAAATCTTCAGGGCTGCTGACACCGGCCAGTAGACATTAAGAGATGTCAGGAGCAACTTAAATTAGTAATGATTTAAAGAAAAGGGTTGCTAATTCTTCCAACTGGCACAGCATCAAAAACTCACCAACTATGAGCAGTTCAGGAATTATAGTATAGGTCTTCAATAGTGTTTCTGCACTTCAGTGTACCTGGGAAATAAAATGTTTATTGTAGCATATTAGGTAAAATATTTGTTGTAGGATATTCTGTTACTTCCTTGTACTAGGCTTTGGTGGTTTTCTTTTTTTGTTGTTGTTGTTTTGTTTTTTGGGTTTTTTTCGGCTTTTCTTTCTTTTTCAATCTGTGGCATCAATACTAGAGCCTGTGAGTTTCCTATAATACTACCCCTTTTTCTCTGACTGACCCACTTTGTCTGTGTTTTTAAACATCTAGTCTTATAGCAAAGATGACAGTTTTTGAGCCTGAGAAGACTCCATTTATATATATAAACTGTTTCTATTTTTCTTTCAGTGCTGTTCTTCATTCCAAGATGCCTTTGCACTTCTGATAAATGCAAACTGACAACCGTCCAGGCCACGGCGGAGGGAAAATCTCATTGGTCCTAGAAGCCTAGAAGACGTCCCTTAACAAAGGAAAGTCTCTGATTGTTGTTTGAAATGCTGAAGAAGCTGCTACGGAGAAGACTTTTTTCTTATCCCACTAAATGCTGCTTTGTGGTTCTTGTTTTTTCCCTAGTCACCTTCTCTGTTGTAAGGATTCATCAAAAGCCCGAATTTGTAAGCATCAGACACTTGCAGCTGGTCGGAGAGAGTCCTAGCAGTAACATTAATTGCACCAAAGTTTTACAGGGTGACGTGGATGAAATCCAAAAGGTAAAGCTTGAGATGCTCACGGTAAAATTCAGAAAGCGCACTCGGTGGACACCTCAGGACTACATAAAACATGACCAGCGACTGCACTTCTTTCATCAAGAGGCGCAAATATATTATGGAACCCCTTAGCAAAGAAGAGGAGCAGTTTCCAATAGCATATTCCTTAGTGGTTCACCACAAAATTGAAATGCTGGACAGGCTCCTGAGGGCCATCTATATGCCTCAGAACTTCTACTGCATTCACGTGGACAGAAAATCAGAGGAGTCCTTCTTAGCCGCGGTGAAGGGCATCGCGTCCTGTTTCAGTAACGTCTTCGTGGCCAGTCAGTTGGAGAGTGTGGTTTACGCGTCGTGGAGTCGCGTTCAGGCCGACCTCAACTGCATGAAGGACCTGTACGGAATGAGCGCACGCTGGAAGTACTTGATAAATCTGTGCGGCATGGATTTTCCTATTAAAACCAACCTAGAAATTGTGAGGAAGCTCAAGTCGTTCATGGGGAAAATACCTTGAACCGAGAAGATGCCCTCCCATAAAGAAGAAAGGTGGAAAGCAGTATGCAGTTGTTAATGGAAGCTGACCAACACGGGGACTGTCAAATGCGTCTCCGCTTGAAACTCCTCTTTTTTCAGGCAGTGCCTATTTTGTGGTCAGCAGGAGTATGTGGGGTATGTGCTAGAGAATGAAAAATCCAAAAGTTCATGCAGTGGCGCGAGATACGTACAGCCCAGATGAGTATCTCTGGCCACTATCCAAAGGATCCCTGAGGTCCCTGGCTCTCTCTCCCTGAGCCATAAGTACGACTTGTCTGACATGCAGGCGGTTGCCAGGTTTGTCAGTGGCAGTACTACGAGGTGACATGTTAGGGCGCTCCCTACCCACCTGCAACGGCATCCACGTGCGCTCGGTGTGATTTTGAGCCGGAGACTTGAACTGGATGCTGCGCAAGCACCACTTGTTTGCCAATAAGTTTGACGTGGACGTCGACCACTTTGCATCCAGTGTCTGGATGAGCATCTGAGGCATAAAGCTTTGGGAGACATTAAGACACTGACCCCTGTGGCAATTTAGGATAATAAGAGAGAGGCTCAAAATGTGCCCCATCTGGTTCCTCTTACTTGACAATAAGCATCAGAAAAATTATATGGGGTCCTCTTTAGGGGGTAGGAGCCCTAAGTCTTTATATCAGAGAAGCCCCATGGTTTTTTGGGGGTTTTTTTGAGACAGAGTCTCGCTTTGTTGCCCAGGCTAGAGTGAGTGACGTGGCGTCAGCCTAGCTCACAGCAACCTCAGTCTCCTGGGCTCAAGCAATCCTACTGCCTCAGCCTCCCGAGTAGCTGGGACTACAGGCATGCACCACCATGCCAGCTAATTTTGAATATATATTAGTTAGCCAATAATTCTTTCTATTTATAGTAGAGATGGGGGTCTCGCTCTTGCTCAGGCTGGTTTCGAACTCCTGACCTCGAGCAATCTGCCTGCCTCAGCCTCCCAGAGTGCTAGGATTACAGGCGTGAGCCACCGCGCCCGGCCAAGCCACATGGTTTTTGCAGAGCACAATTGGTTAGAAAGGTTATAGCATTACATGCTGCCCTGGGGTTAATGTGAAGGGGAGAGAGTAGCTGTAAGGCCAGGGCAGGGAGCAAGGCACTCTGGAGAGGGAGGCTGGAAGGAGGAAGAAAGAGGCCAATGCAAAAAAAAAAAAAAAATCAGCCTGTTAAAGGAGCTCAGGGACTTAACAAAATGAGATTTGACCTGTGCCAAAATAATTTTGAGAATTTTAAATATGACCATTTTCCTGGTACGAATAACTTTATAGCAACAAACAATCATAAAGATAGTTTATCTTGTATGTTATAGGAGCTATTGAAATAGAAATTGGATTTTACTTTAAATGATCCTTGTACGTTATTTTCTGCTGTAACATTGTGCTGTGTGTAGTGTATCTCTGTGTCATCTCAGGGAGCTTACAATGGGCTTGATTTCACTTTAATATTTTTGTGTTCCTTTTGCTTGTAACTGCACATGTGTTTTCAAAAGCCAAAAAAATGACGATTTCTAGTTTAGTTAATTTTTATGAATCATCTTAGGTTATTAAAAAGTTAAGGTATCTTTTTCTATGAAGAATCAAATTGCTCACAGGGATAGCCTTTTCAATTCTGGTTTCTACAAAGAGTAACACTCCATTTTTTCAAAGATTTGTCTTTATACTCTTACCCCAGTCTCCCCAGACCCAACTATTAGGCTGTGCAATAATTTACTTTCACAGGACCCCGTATTACTGTCACGTTCTCTGTCGTGACTTGATTGCCAATAATTAGTACAGGGAACTAAGAAAGGGTGAAGTACATTTGGGGGGGCGGTGATGGGGGGAAGGAATCTATTTTGATAATTTCTGAGGCCCATGATGAGTTTGAAAAACCAGCAGTTGGCACTATCCCCAGAAATGAATGCTGTTGCTCATTGGACCCACTTGTGCCCAACCTTCCAGTTCCTAATGTCACATTATATCTTAATGTCACCTGTGCCTTCATTTGAAAGGCCCTGTCCCTGTCCTTTGGTCTTCATGTTATCTGCCCATTGGCTGTTAAGTTTCCTCTTTGCTCGTAACCTTCTGTGAGGAGGAAAGAAGTGTGCTATTGCCACCCGTGGTGTATTGGAAGACACCTGGGAGGATTGGAAGGCCTGGGAAGGGGGCTTTAGGTTTGGGACAGATTGCTTCAGTATTGGTATTATTCACAGCATATGGTTTTTGCTCTATTTTCACCAAAAGATAGATCGATGATTTGGGGTTGCTATAGTGCTATCTCATAATCTCCAAGTAAATTAAAATTTGAAAAGAAAAAAAAAACATTCTTGTCATTTTGCTAAGTTGCTACTGTTCAACCAAAGATATAACACGAGCTGTGAAGCTTTGTCATTTAGTATTAGACTTTAAACAAGAACCAAAAGCATATGCTTTATTTTTAAAACATAGCAACTTAAATGCCACATGAGAAATTCAGAATATCAGATGGTTTTAAGGCATTCAACTGAAGACGCATTTTTTTTTATTCCTCAAAGTTAGAAAACATTTTCATTTTTACTGAGAGGTGTGTTTTTAAACCTATACCATCATTTGTAAATATGGAAGTCAGTGGATTGCTGTGTTTTTGCATGACTAGCATGGCAGTCAGCGTTGGACCAAGAGGTGCATGTTTGATTTGAAAACTCAAGACATGATGTTGATGAAGGTGGCACGTGCAATGTGTTCTCTCTTTATTGGCCTGTAAACCTGTTTTTTCCTTTAATGTGTATCAAATATTTCTTCCATGCTCCTTTTAGCAGAAAGGTTTTTACCTATAAGATAGGGCACTTTTTTTTTCTCTAAAATAAGTGGTACTCAGTGACATATACCTTATGTGTATGCCTCACAGAAATTTTTTCCACTTTTTATTTTGAAAATTTGCGAATCTGTAGGAAAGTTAATAGTACAGTGATCACGATATAACCCTCACTCGGATTACCAGTTGTTAACATAGTGCCCTATTTGCTTTAAGTTGTATGTGTTTTTGAATTTAGCAAAAATGGAAATTAAAATTTTTTTTAATTACAAATATACAAAGTTATTCATCTCAACACATTTATTATAGTGTAACTGCATCTGATTTATACTTAAATTGGCAGGGTTTGAGGGTTTTTTTTTTTCCTTTTTTTACCATGGATTTAAAAATAGGATTTCCCCAAGCCTCACCTTAAAACTGTGAACCCACCATCTTCTATGTAGCTGTGATATCTCATCTTTCTAGAATGGCACTTGTTGAAATGTGTTCAAACACTACCTGGTCCCTAATACCTGCCACAGAGATTATGTAGGGTTCGTTCATTGGGACTCGAAGTATCTTATTTTTAAACTCTTTAGCATAACTTAAAGCAAATGAAATTTAAACTACTGTAATAAGAAATTTAAAGAATCAAAAAGATTGGAGAGGAACCCAATGATGCTTCCCAAGTTTTTTGGGAGAAATGTAGAAAGTATTTAAATTACTTCATATGTTAGTAAACACTAATTTCTTTGTACTGTCATTTAAGGTCTTCTATAGGGAATTTTTAGAAATCCCATTCACAAATGAGAAGTTCTTAAACATATGTAAACATATGGAAAGTTTGATGGAAAGATTCTAGTTCATGACTACTACATCTAGATTTACATATTTCTTATTAAGGACAAGAGTATGACAATGATCGTTCTTTATTTTACAGGCAATTACCTATGCTCTTCCCAGATCACAGTAAATAGCTGCTCATCCTTGAAAATGTGGAACATTATCGTTTCTAAACATGTATTTATCTCATTCGTCAAGGACAATTCACCTAAGTCGATTTCCTCTTATAGTTTGGGTGGAAAGAAGCCATGTTTTAGTTTCTGTAGGGTCAATTAAACTGGACTTTTTTGATTGTTTACAAAAATAAAAATCATTTATCATGTTAAATACAGATGTCCCTCAACTTACAATGACTTATGATGCAATTACGTCCCCAAAATGGATTTAACACACCTAATGTACCTTAGCATAGTCTGTAACATGCTCAGAACGCTTACATTACATTTGGGCCAAATCACCTAACACAAAGCCTGTTTTATAATAACGTGTTGAATATCTCATGTAATGTGTTGAATCTGACCTGAAAGTGAAAACAGAATGGTTGTATGGGTACTTGAAATACGGTTCCTACTAAATGCATATTGTTTTCACATCATCTTCATGTCAAAAAATGTTGTCAAACCATCCTAAGTCAGGGACTGTCTATATAAAATAAATGCAACACTATTTCATGGTACATGTGGTCATCGTAAGTTTTACTCTTTCGAATATGGGCGTGACTGAATGAAATTAGAACCAGTGATTCACCATTGAAATCAACCTCTAAGAAACCAATGCCTCGCCTGTACAAACTGACTCCTTGTCAGCCACCAGCACTCAAATGTTAAATTTAGTAGTTGATGCAATACTTTGTAACAAATGAGTGTGTGCTAATAGTGATTAAAAATAAGATTATTTCTCAGGGCAGGAATGTCAGAGGGGAAGGGCTTGTGGCAAAAACAGAAACTTTAACACAGATCATGCAAAAAGATTTCCACAAGGGACTTTGAAAGGATGCAGTTGAATGGCCAATATCGCATTCTAGGACATTAGACACTTCATCTGGTGTCTGCTGAGAGAGGAGAGCCATTTTCCAGTTAGTAACTCAATGACTGCAAAGACTGATAGGGTCTGTCACTTGCTGTGGTTTTAATGTGACAGGCACAGCTACAGGAAGAGGGACCTTCCTCCCCAGTATTAAGTGCCTGCTACAAATGTCATCGCACTTGATCTGTTAAACCCTTCTGGGTACTCTTTAGCCCCATTTTAGGTGAAACATTCTAGAAAGTGGCAAAATTGATGGATTGCAGATCTTTCTTTAAAGCTTGATAGCTTTACATATACTTTATAAGCCTGTTTATGAAAGATTTCATTTTTTAATATATGCTTTATAGTTTTCAAAGCTTGTCATCAGAATATTGATTTAACTTTTTAATGCAGTAAGACCCAAACTAGAAATGAATTTAAAAAGAAAAGACTGTTGTTATTATTGCAGATCATATGATTGCCTAAGTGGAAAACCCAGAAATCCGGTGTTAGAATTAATATGAAATTAGCAAATACCTCCAGACATCTAAAAATTAATAGTTTTCCTAAATTCAAGTGAAAAAGATAGTTTTAAGATATAATGGTGGCCAGGTGCGGTGGTTCACGCCTGTAATCCTAGCACTCTGGGAGGTCGAGGCGGGAGGATAGCTCAAGGTCAAGAGTTTGAAACCAGCCTGAGCAAGAGCAAGACCCTGTCTCTACTAAAAATAGAAAGAAATTAATTGACCAACTAAAAATATATAGAAAAAATTAGGCATGGTGGCACATGCTTGTAGTCCCAGCTACTTGGGAGGCTGAGGCAGGAGGATCCCTTGAGCTCAGGAGTTTGAGGTTGCTGTGAACTAGGCTGACGCCATGGCACTCTAGCCCAGGCAACAGAGTAAGACTCCGTCTCAGAAA